AATATCGCTAGTTGTACGCGCAATCACTACTCGGTTGTTTAGATTATATTAATGAATATCAAATTGGCCAAAATCAGGAACAATTATTTTCTTTTTGTTTAGATACGACCTGTTACAACAGTAGTTCGTAGTCCTACTACAGCGTACACCGTGAAGTCAACGGTCGCTGTGACTGGAATCAGACCAACAGTTCCCACAATTCAAAAACCACCTATTATAACGACTGTTGTTAAAACAATTACAGCTACAACGCAAGGCAAGACAGTTAACACAGCCACTACTGTTAATAAAGCCGTTGTGCCTTCTTTCGTTCCAAAGCCAGTTACTAAAGAGAAAGAGAAAAAAACATTTTCATCCGCCGGATACACGTACGTTATCATTTTCAACATATTTAGACTACGTCTGAATACATGAACTGTCGCCATTTTATGTATACGTACATTTTTGAATAGGGGAGATGATGATATCAACGATGTCGCGGCTATGGGTGGTGTTAATCTTGCCGAGGAATCGCAAAGGATTCTCGGCTCGACAGAATTCGTTGGCACACAGATCAGATCCTGTAAAGACGAAGTGTTCTTACATATGACACCGTTACAACAGAAGATTAAACAAATTGGTAATTATTCATGTTTTGATGTAAGTATTGAACTGAAGATGACATATGTTAACATGTATTTATTTTATAGTTTCTACGTATGGATTAGAAGAACCAAATCAGGAAGTTGCAGCGTTAATATCTCACGCCGCGCAAGAAAGATTAAAAAATTTAGTAGAGAAGTTAGCAGTGATCGCCGAGCACAGGATAGATTTGATAAAGGTGAAGTTTAACGATTGCAATAAGTAAAATTAAGAGAGACTGTCTTGCAATTGCTGAAGGTGCTTTTTAACTGAATACACATATTCGATATTTAGACAATCAAGAACACGTAATGGTTACAGGTGGATCCGCGTTACGAAGTGACACAGGATGTTCGGGCACAGTTAAAATTTCTAGAAGACTTGGATAAAGTGGAACGTAGGAGACACGAGGAACAAGAAAGAGAGTTACTCTTACGCGCGGCGAAGAGTCGCGCGAAAACTGAGGATCCAGAACAGGCGAAACTCAAGGCGAAGGCTAAGGAGGTACTTTTAAATATTTTTAATAAAGGACACGTGTGATGAGAATAATGATAATTCCAATGGCAATGATTTAGATGCAACGAGCTGAAATGGAAGAGCTGAGGCAAAGAGAAGCGAACTTGACGGCGTTGCAGGCGATCGGACCACGTAAAAAGCCTAAACTAGATGTGGGAGGGTCTGTCAGTAGTCCAGGTAGTAACTCCGGTTTGAACGCGTCGACGACCGGGATCAACAGACAAATGCCGATGAGACCACGTTTGAAGAGGGTGAACTTTAGGGACTTGTTGTTCCTTCTCGAGCAGGAGAAAGAAACGTGTAGGAGCACGACGCTGTATAAGTCATACTTGAAGTGATGTTCTGTGAAGGGCAGGAACTTATGTGACCCGCCCGATAACTGGCGCCCTACCTGTATGGTCTTCTGTGAGCTGGCCTCAATGGACCTTAACGAGTCGAGTGACGTTAGTGCACGTTGCATTATTGTACAGTGTTTCATAAGTTGCATACAATGAGGTTCACATTAACGAATCACGTCGGGATTCCACATAACATTCAGAATAACATTATTTCTACCATGTCGATAAGCTTCCCTACTGTAAATGACTGAACATTTTTTAAATGTAATATAATAGATTGTTCTTTATTTTTCAAAGGCGGAAACGGCATCATTGAAACGGGCATTGTGTATGAGCACATGGCCCGATGATCAGTCTTGGGTAGTCTCTTTACGGCGAGGATGTGGTGTGGCCATATATAAATACTGTTATATGGTGAGCGCATGTGTCTCGAATGAATGTGTGTACATTGTCATTTTATGTATATGCCTGCTGCATTGTAACACTTGACCTATACTTTTGGACACTGTAGCGCTAGTGTAAAAGAGTGCAGGTTTTGTTAACATAGTAAAAACGTATTTTTGCAAATCGTAATGTAATAATATACAGTAAGAGCACACTGTCCAAAAAGTATGGAATAATTTATACAATACCTTACACATAAAATACTAAATAGTGATAATTTCAATGTTGGTACAACAGAATATAGCTACTCTCCACCATAAGATGGAATTGTTATCGTATATTATGTTGTAATCTGCATTTTCAGTGTTTATAAAAGAATTAGCTGTTACGTTTTTTATTAAAGAAATATTTACAAAAGTATGAATCACGGATGT